GAAAAATGACAAATAAAGACTAGGTCCCATATTATAAATATGAAATCTTGGTGAAATGTCTGAAATCACAACTCAGGTATGCCAAATGACAAGTTGACTATGGGAAATGATAAGTTCACTTTAGCAAATGACAATTTCAGATTTAGTAGACTAAATCACAACTTAGCTTAGGAGCATTTTAGACATTTCACCAAAATTTCATATTTGCAATATGGGATCGGATCTTTATTTGTCATTTTTCAAATTGAGGCTCCCAAATCGCAATTTCACATATTAGAAGTCTTTATTTGCCATTTTTCTTTTAAAAAAATGAAAGACTTATTGAGAGAATTAATTAAAAAAAGATATTTTGTATTTTACCACGCAATATTCTTCTCATATACTTGTTTTATAAATATAAAATCACTTACAATAAATTAATTCAAACATTCACTTAGATAAAAGACTTAGAAATGGCTAAACGAATGGTCCTGGCAACACGCCAAGCGTGATTAATTGAACGTTGATTAAACTTTTCTAAAAATTTGTGGTGAAAAGTTTTGAAAATTAGTGTTCATATATAATTTAATAATTACTAATATAGTCAAGAAATATGAAATTTTGTGAAGCCAGTCAATTTTCAATTTGATAATTATATTTTCTGCTAAAATCAAAAACAGTGTCAGTTAAGAACTTGAATAAAGTGAAATATGAAAGACCTTATAACATAATCTTTAGAAAAAGTCATTAAATTTCAAAATTGCAACCTTGTTTTTTAATGTAAGACCCAGTCACATAATTACATATTACATTATCTTTTTAAAATACTTTTGTATACCATTAGATTATATATTAATTTATAAAAGTAACAAATTAGTTTGAAGAGAAACGATAAATATAAATACATTAAGGTAATTTATTCACTTTCTTGATCTCCTCAAATAAGTTAATTAGATCTTATATTAAGGATCAGAGATAATATTTGAATACAAGGAGTGTGAGAAAAATATAAGAGATTACCATACAGTTTTTTAAAAAAAAAAAACAATTTTTGGCGTTATTTGAATGGCGCGCTAAAAGGTTTGGAAGTGAGAAACTTCAAAATGGTCCTTTGCCATCATTTCATTTTTGTCCCAAAATTTTGATTTTGAGCATATACACACACAGAAATAGTAGAGCATATGTTTGATATTATAAATTAAAAGGAAAAATGAAAAAAAAATTGTTTGATAAAATTTAATGCTTATGCGCCTATATAGAAAAAAATCATTTAAAACAATGAAAAATCGGGAATAATGATTATATCAATGTATATAATAAATATGTGCCCTAAAAAGTTTTCAGTTACGGATTACTTTTCCGTAAGCGTGCCAAACAGGGAACAAGACTGGCCTTTTTGTCCTTTGTGGTAGAGAAGACTTGACTTTTGTGATGTGATTGAAATGAAAAATAATAAAAAAAAACCCACAGCCAAGTAAATTATTAACAAATAAAAAATAATATTAAATTATCTTATTCACTCATTTTAGTTGCTTCCTCGGCCCTCAAACCGTTATACAGGTTATAAGTTTCTTGTTATTGAGTAGCAATCCATGCGGTGATAGAGAAAGTAAGACTTTTTTCCTCCCTCTGAATATACCTTACAATACACGTTACAAAATAATACCCATAAAAGTATGGATAAATTAGGAAAATAATCCTCCATTAAAAATTTTACTTATGTGAAAAACATAATAATTTTTCATACACAAAAAGTACCGATATTTTACTTTGCAAATTCTGTACATGCGAAGTATCGGTACTTTCATTCAAGTTTTTTGGGAAAACTAATCTCCAAGTCCCTATACTTTACAACGATTTTTAATTATGTCCTTTTAGTTTGATTTGTTTGAATTGGGTCCTTATATTTTACTCTGTTAAACTCATCATTCCTTGGGGCTTTAACACCGTTAAAATTAATTGAAGTGGTTGACATATCGGTTGCTCGGTGACTGACTGTGCACACACATAGGTATTCTTGTCCCTGGAAGCAGGCAATGACTCATCTCTCATTTATGCACATCTCTCATTTATACAGAATAAAAATTAAAAAGTTGGCAAAAAAAATAAAATTAAAAAAAAAGCAATATGTTGAAAAATTCCGCCCTCATCGGCGCTTCTCCCAGGTGAAGTGAAAGAATGGACGAGGCGATCACTGCATCTAATGCATCATAATGGAAAAACCCAAAAGCTATTGTTTGAATTTAGTGAAAATTGCAACTTTCTTTTTATTCCTTCTGGGAAAAAAATGAAGTGAAATGTTTTAGCTAAGATTGAGAATAAAATACTAAAAATGAGATCCATTCCATCTAGGAGAAGCATTGGCGAGGATGAATTTGGTGAAATCGAAAACAGTGGTGGTGGTGAAAATCCAAGTGTTAAGGGTTGACACTACCGACATAGATGAGGTTGTAGAGAATGACGGTGCGGCGACGAATGAAGTAAGGGAGGATTCGTAGGTGCCAAAGCCATGGGAGAGGACGATTCGGCTCTTTGGTTTGGTTGATTTGGGGGGCTCTGGTCTCTAATTGTTCATGGGAGGTGAAATAATTTCTTAAATAGTTGATGTTTGAATGCTTAAAGGTAGGTATTCGATGAATTTGGTGCTTGATAAGGTCAATTTAGGTCTCTGATTTGTTTCTTGAATCATTGATGTTGAGTCTCCATCCTGTGGTATCCGACGAGGATGGTGTCCAGGAAAGATAATTATTTTAACTAAAAAAGAAATTTCAGCCATTTCAAATTATATTTATATAAATATATATAATAAAAATAAGTATCTATATGTTTGTACAGTCAGCCGCCAACTCATCAACAGGTCAGTCAATTCGGTTAATTTTAACAGGGTTAAAGGTCCAAGCAGTAACAAGTTTAACAGAGTAAAATGTAAGGGCCTAATTCCAACAAATCAAACTATAGGGACTTAATTTAAATTTGATGTAAAGTATAAGGATTTGGAGATTAGTTTTCCCAAGTTTTTTTAATTAATAAAATTTTCAATTGGAGACTTTGACCCGATTTTACAAGGAAAGTATAGATGGATTTGATATTAGAAATGAAGGGGGGAAATTTAAAAAAATAATTTTACATGATAAGATTTAATTTTTATTCCCCTATTTATTAAAAAAAATATTTGAAACAATGAGAAATGGGGAATAATGATTATGTCACTATAATAAACCCCCTACAAAGTTCTCATTTACAGATTAGTTTTCCATTAGCGTACCAAACGGGGCAGAAGACTTGCCTTTGCCAATTAATTGTGATTGAAATGAGAATGAAAAAAAGAAAATAAATTTAGAGCCAAATAAATTCTTAGAAAAGGAAATACTAAATTATCTTCTTGACCCATTTGAGTTGACTCCTTATGACACAAATTCTCTTCAATATGTGTTGGGTTGAGCTGATGTCACAAAGGTTTTGGAAGCGGAGCATCTTCACTAACTTCCCTCTTCATTTTAACAGGTGAGATTTATTGAGTAAAAATGTTATTATAATATTAAATATTAAATAATAAAATAGATAGATAAATTTATGGTATTAAAATTTGATGTGACTAGTTTGCAATTGTAAATTTTTATTATATTTAATATTATAATAATATTTTTATATAGTTTTGAATTTCAACCATTGAAAGTTAATGGAATGGTAGAGATATAAAGTGAAAAGAAAATAGAAAGAAAAGTTGGTGAAGACATTTTTGTCCCGATTTGAAGACCCTTACTAATGCTTTATGATCAATGTATGGCTGAAAATCTTCACATCAATGTTAACCGTAAAATTCTAAAAAAATTTCAATGACTATACTGTTACATTTATAGGAATGTATTGTATTGTGGTACGACCCAAATTCTGTTTGAAGAAGTAAAGGGAGGCGAAAACATAAATTCAAAGAAATTATCGAGAAACAAGTTTTTTCAAATAACACGTATATCTACCAAAGTTTACGGGTCAATGTCATTATATGCGTATCAGGTGGTGAATTTCTAAGATTCCATTGGAAACTGTCGAAGCCGACAATTTTTTTTTTTTGGCCTTGAAAGCCGACAAAATTTGAAGACTAACACAAATCCAAAACTAAAATTTAACAATCAAACTGATTTTAACATCACCGGGTTGGAATTGTCTCAAAAATTCATAAATTGATATTTGCGTGTGTACGTATAAACACATTACATTACATGAATCATGTACTTAATTTCCTATTAAACCTTACACTCGAAATATTTTTATTAGGGAAAATTAATTTGTAGGTCCTTATAGTTCACTTCAATTTTAAATCAGGTCCTTATAGTTTATTTCTTTTGAATAGGGCCTTTATACTTTGATCCGTTAAACCCATCCATCCTCAAAGGTTAACACCGTTATAACACCGTTAAGTTTTGATGATGTAGAGGCTGACTAAACTGACATGTGGATAGAGAAACATGAGTTGGCACCACATGGATTAATTTTGACGACAGGTGGATAATAAGGTGATTAAGAAGCCTTTAACTAATACCATTGTGATCAGTCGATTCAGAAAACCATCGCATCCCCGCCCTCTTGCTAATTTTGCGGCCAGTTGCAGAACGTTCAATTTTGGTTTTCATTGGGTGCGGAGGACGGCGGCGACCAAGATTATCCAGGTAAAACTGCATTTTGGTACTGTGTCTCGATTTGTAATTTCGAGCAGGTAACCCATATTTCATATCCATTTGTAAAGGTCCCATCTTTGATCTTCTATAAATTAAAAAAAAAAATAGTACTCTTATAAACATGTGCAGATTTTCTCTATCCACAATAAGAAGAGAACAAGGATGTTGATTTGACATAATAAAGTTTGAATCTTTTTTGAAACCGAAACTATACATTGAATATTAATTCCAATCAAAATCAATAAAAATGATTTTGGCTTTTTAAAGTTATAATTTTTTAAACGCTTTCTACATTCTATGTTTCTCTCATTAATTTTGTTCTTTTGTTCTATCAGTTTAGTATATATGGAACGAAGGAGGGGAGATGACGTAGGCATAAAAAATGGGAATATAAATTTAGGGAGTGGGAACGAAATAGAGGTTGGGGATGATAATTTGATGTGCCCGCAAGCTGAGGATAGTGACGATGCAGAGTTGGATGATGATTGTTTTCATCAATTTCTTGATGTTGATGTTGAGAATGTAGGTCAAGGAAGTAGGGGTTCTAATCATTTGGCCGAATTTGAATCTGTGCATTCAGAGGCTGTTACTACTTCTGAGTTACCGAATGAGAACACGCTGGCTATGCTTTCCGATCTAGAAGATGATGAGTTGTATGAGGAGTATGCATGTGATGACGAGGACAATAAGGCAATAACAAGGTATGAGAAATACAATTCTGCTCAAATGTGCAAGGAGTTTGAATTTAAGTTGGGCATGGAGTTTAATTCAGTCCAACAGTTTCGAGAAGTGCTCAAGGAGTACTGTTTGCTACATGGGTATGATGTTAAGTTTCTTAAAAATGATAAGGAAAGATGCCGAGTTAGGTGCAAGAAGAAGTGTGGTTGGTTGATACTTGTAAGCAAAGTTGGTGGCTCAATGACTTTTCGAGTGAAAACACTTGGACCAAAGCATACTTGTGGGGTAACATTTAATTCAAGGTTAGCCACATCAAAGTGGGTTTCAAACAAGATAGTAGATCATATGAGGATGAATAAGAATTTGAAGCCAGGAGATGTGGTTTCAATAGTAAAACAAAATTATATGGTGCAACCTTCAATAAACAAGGCATTTTGGGCTAGGAAGATTGCAAAGAAAACAATAGAGGGAGATCACAAAGAAGAGTACAACAAGTTAGTAAACTTTTGTAATGAAGTCAAGAAGAGAAATCCGCAATCTACATTTGCTCTTGTCACTGATACTACTTATTATGTAGATCGGCCACGTGTGTTTAAGAGATTGTATGTGTGCTTAGAACCAGTGAAAAGAGGTTTTATGAAAGCATGTAGGTCAAAAAATTCGAAATATTTTTATTAAGAGGTCAACATTTTGGGATAAAAAAAATCAATTTATTTTGAAGTTCATTCCGACATATATACTCTCGAATCTTATCTATAAATCATATTCAACATGTTTCATTGGGATCAAAAAAAACCTTAAATATTACCACCTTCAATCTTTAATATAAAAACTAATTACAGATTTAATTTGATCATAAACATAAGACCACAATTTTTTTTTTTTATCATATTTATCTTCTTTTTTTGTCTAAAGTAGCTCTTATGGTGATTGTACATATTAAAGGTTCCATGATGGAGCAATTCCAATGCATATGATTAACTGGAATATTTAGGCAAGATAATATATGATTACAAATAATTAATTTAACTATTTTTTAAATATTTATAAATCAGTTATCTAGCTCTTATATTAAGAACTAAAAGTAGTATTAACTTTATCTTAAAATTTAATAAATTTTTAATTTTGTCCGTATTTTATATACATTATATCATATGAGAATAAAATCTACACAATAATAAATGACAAATAAAATAAAATTGTTTGCATAAAAAAATTATACATTCATATGACAAATTTAATGGTACATCTTATAAATAAGATCAAACAAGAATTTTCTCTATACCTCATAAATAGGACTAGAGGAGTATTATATACAATAAAATCATACAAATATATAAGCTATGCATGAAACTGTATACATTACACCGTTCATAAGAGTAGTTGACTAAATTAGAGATGAAAGGGGGAAAAATAATTTTATTTGATAAAATTGAATTTTTATGCCTTCATTTTTATTATAAAACATTTGAAACTAAGAACGTAGGAATAATGGTTATATCAGTATAATCAATGCCCTACAAAAGTTTTCAATTATAGGATTATTTTTCCATTAGCGCAACAAACGGGGGAGAAGACTTGACTTTGCGATTAATTGATTGATGACATGAAAATGAATCAAAAGAACAAGAAAACGCGTAAAGAACAAGTACATGGCCACATTTAGTGTCCTGTTTGGCAATGTGTATGGGGAGGGAAAAAGTAACTTATAAGTATGATAAATCAATTTGTAAATTTGAAAGTTGTTTGTCACAACTTTTAGTCAATCTAACTTATGAGTCAAAAACTATTTTTTTATAAACTCGATTACAAAAGTACTTAAAACTTATTTATGACTTATGCAAAAGCAGTTTTTTAGAATTAAAAGATATTTTTACCCTTATATTTATGATGTTTTTATGCTTTTTATATATATTTCTTGTGCTTCCCAATCATTTTTTAATTATTTATTTTTAATATTCTCTTAAATGAAAATAATTTTTAACAGTTTTTATAATAATTTTAATTTTTAATATTATGCGTATCTTATGTTTACATAAATTATGCAAAGTATATCATCTAATTAATTATGTAATATTATTTGATTTAAAAATTTTCACATTATTGTGATTTTTAATTTAAATACATTTTATTCATTAAATATAACTTCTACTTATTATAATAATAATTTAAAATTATTATATTTTGTAAATTCATATTTTTAATAATTTTTATTATTTAATAAAAGTCATACCCATTTTGGTTATCCTACAAACTAAACTTATTTATTCAATTATAATCCAAATAATTTTTTTACTTTACAAACTAACTTTTATAAAAGTCAATTCAAACATAAATTACATTACTCAATATAACTTTTACTCAATTTCATTTTTCTAAAAATCAGATCGAGAATAAGTTATTTTTTCTACTGTAATCCAAACAGACCTTTAAGCTTGATGGAATGTTGATTCAGCTTTTTCTGAAAATTTGTGGAAATTAGTGATCATATATAATCTAATATAATTACTAATATGGTCAAGAAATATGGAATTTTGTGAGGCAGATCAATTTGATAATTTTACTTTATGCCAAATAAACAAAAATTTCAATTAAGAACTTAAAGTGAAATATAAGAGGTCTTTTCTAACATACTCTTTAAAAAGTAACTAAATTTGAACGTTATTTGAATATAAGGAGTGCGGCAGAGATATAAAGAGCTTACCATACTATCACCAAATTTTGTTGGGTTTTATTTGAATGGCGAGCTAAAAGGTTTGGAAGTGACAATATTCAAAGTGATCCTTCATTTTCCAGCTGCCGTTAATTTTCTTTTTTCCCCGAAATTTTGGTTTTGAGTGGTTCTAATTACTCAAAACGTGCAACACGTTATAATGCACAACACAAAATAATAGATAATAATAATACACACACAGAGAGAAATAGTATAACATATGTTTGATATCAGAGATGAAGAGCGAAATTAAAAACAATAATTTTATTTGATAAAATTTAATATTTATGCCCCTATTTAGGAAAAGCCATTTCAAACAATGAAAAATAGGCAATAATGATTATATGAGTATAAATCATAAATATATGCCCAAAAAATTTAAGAACATTGCATCAAGGTTATCATCCAAGAGAATTAAATACAAAAAAATTTCTTAAAATTATTAAATTAATTTGAACTCTTAAGATATGTTATTGCAAAAGATTCTACTTATTTAATTATTAAATTACCCTCTCTGTTTTCTTTAAGTATGCATTGATAATTAAAAGAGTAATCGTTAACGATTTAAGGTGTAATTATTAATAACTATTGCGAATGTATTAACAACTTATGTATTAAATCTTTGTGATGTATTGAGAAAATGTGTTATTAATATCTGTAATGATAATTATTAATCGTTACATCTTAAGTTATTAACACTGTCTTTTCAGTTGTTAATGCATACTTAAAGAAAAAAGATAAGGGTAATTTAGTAATTAAATAAGTAAAATTTCTTGTAATGAGGTTTCTTAAAATTTTAAATTAATTTGATAATTTTAAGAGGTTTTTTTATATTTAATTTCTTAAGTAGGACTTTTGTGCAATTTTTTCAGAAGGTTTTCAATGACGGATTATTTGTCCGTAAGTGTACCAAACAGGGTAGAAGCCTAGAAGCCTTGTCTTTTGTGAGTGATTGAAACGACAGTGCATCGAAGAAAGCTCAGCCAAGTAAATTGTTAACAAATGAAAAATATTAAATTATCTTCTTCACTCATTTGACTTGACTCAATTATTTGTTTAAGTTAAAGTCAAAATTATGATAGTGTTATCTCTTTATGACAATACCAAAATTAAGAATTTTGGACCATAAAAAACGTACGGTACGCTCATGAGAAGACCAATAAGAATAGGGTTTGGTGAAGAGAGGCACATATATCTGTTCAAATCTAATAATTTATATATTGTTATAATATGAGAGAGAAAATGAGATAACTAAGGCGTAGAAGAAAAAACAAGACAGTTTCTTATTCATTTTATTTCATGATACAAATATCTTATACATTACCTCTATTTATAGGCTTCTAAATATTAAAATCCTATACTAGGGTTATAAAAAAGAACATAATTATATTAACAATAAGAAACTCTTCTTAAGTCATTTATTGTAGATGTTATGTATCTCATGTCTTTATGACATTTAAAGTTGAGGAATCCTAAAAGTTAGGGGTTATGGACGTTAACTCATGTAGTATTCATAATATATAGTTTAAGATTTACTATTTTCATATTTTATATTTATTTCAATTTTTCAATTGTTTTATATCTAATATGTGTTTAATTGACAACTTGTCGGCATTATAACTTTGTATGGATTTGTATGTATTGAATATTTACATTGATATTAAAGGTCTTTGGGATACTTGTTTATTGCTGTCATCACGTGTTATTATCAATAACGATATAACTCGTTTTTGAAGGACCCAATAACTGGGAGGAAAGTGAGAAAAATATGAATGAACTACGATATAAATAAATACTTGAAAATTATTTTATTTTTGGAAAAATTGGTAGATTGAAGTACTAATTTGACTTTTTTTTTCCCCACTTCATATTTACAATATTTCATTGACTCTTATTTTTTATGGCATTTTAATGATGCCAAATAAAACTATCAAAGAAAAAAACCAGTCTTAAAAAAGAATTTATTTATTTAGGAGAAAAAGTGTCACATAAATCGTTGATGGGCCAAAATGCTTTAAAATTAAAATTATATTGCTTATTTTAAATTCCTATTCGCACCGTTGTTTTGAGAAATCATGTGCAACACCTAACCTTCTATATGCTAATAAAGTTATTTTAATGTTTGTGAATCACTAAAACCAGGTTTCTTTCCTTGGTAAAACAGGGTAAATTTTTTTTCTGATCTAAAAAATGAATCATTTGAAGACAGAATTTCAATACAGGAGTTGATTCTAAAAGTAACATTGAAATTCATTGTCTACATAATTTAAACTTCCAAAATAACTTATAAGTGATTTACAACAGACTCTATCTTAACCTATATTTGTTTCACCTATAAGGATTCCGAACCATTTAATTCTATAATATTACATTATATTGTAATAGCCATCCTGGTTGATGGCTTTTACCTGCACCTGGCAGAGCTCCCCTCCCCATGAAGGATGCAAAAGTTATAATTACATGGACCAAGTAATAATGACTTGCTCACATGATTTATATAGAAATATAGGTAAATAAATACCAAAATATTCTACTATAAAAGTATAATACTAAGCAGGCATTCCTGCTCTTCAATCCAGCTCACCTTCACCTTTTAATACCTCTTTCCCTCTAGAGCTGCTTGCCTTCGCTGCACATCATATAAAGGAGGGTGAGATTCCAAAGAACCCGTAGTAGCAATTTCCACCAAATTAAAGTGTAGATCATATAAAGCATGCAAAACAAGCCAAAATGGAACATAACCTTGCAAGCTAATATAATTAAGTATTTATGCACAATGAGATAGACAAGCTAAATATAAAATACACAAATAATTGGCAGATACTGTCACACCTCTCTTTATAACCCATTATACGTCATTTGTAACCATTATAGCGTGTTTCGCAGCAT